ATATAACCAAGTTAACATCAATTATAATTTTAAAAACTATATTCAAAATGTATGTTTTAAGAGTCTATTATTTTAAAATAAAAATATATTTAAGAGTTTATAGTATGAAAATTGTCTATGTAATTAATCTATATTTAGGCCGATTCCACAGATGTTTTAAAGTTTTTTTGGTTGATTTCGAGATACTTTTTCAATTTCTTAGTTGATGTTTACTGTATTTTTAATGTCTCGGAACGCCACTTAAAGTTTAACAGATGCACATTTCATACTTAAAAAATCTACTTGTAGAAATAGCTTGAACGGGTGCACGCAAGCCTACTTAGGGGATGTTTACTTATGACTTAATGGGCTTAATGGATGAAATAGCTTATTCGCACAACCAAAGTATGATGTTTACTTATGGCTTAATGGGCTTAATGGACAAAAGACCTACATAGGTCCTTGCTGCGTTGTGTCCTTCTATATAAGTATGTTTTTCCCTTGTCTAAATTACGTTATTACATTAATTAAAAACATATAAAATATCGTTGTTAAAATATTATTTAAATAACCGATAACCAACTTTTACATAATAAATGTCGATATGATTTATACTGTTACGAAAAGACGAATTCAGTTATGTTCGTTATTTAATTTTAATAAACGATAATAAAAATTTACCTATTGTATTAATATCGTTTTATATTAGGTATGCATTAGTTCTTTGTCAAAAATACACATGTTCTCGTGTTTTTAGAAAATTGTTGCCAACCAACATGATATGGACCTTAAACGTTTTTGAAGAAATAAAGAAAGTTATTTATAATAATTAATTTTTTTAAGTATATAATATTTATATACGATAAATACAACAAATAAGCTCACACACTCTCATTACCTTTGGTAAGATTGAACTCATGACCTTCTAGGAGGCCAAAGACTACAATACCACTAGGTCAAAGACCCTTTGGTTAAGAATAATTATTCTAATTACAAGTTTTACTTAAAATATTATAATTTAGTTCAGTAATTTATTTAATTTACATTCAAGTTTAGTAATTTATTTAATTTTGAGATTTTAACAGCGATTACATTTTTATTATTTGTTCTTATTAGAATTTAATATTTTCGAGTTTTTAAAATTGATTTAGAGTTTCTTTATTTTCATGATCCAAGGTTACCAAAAGGCCTTTGGACTAGCGGTATGTGAGTCTTTGACTTCCTAGCAGGTCAAAGGTTCAAACTCCACCAAAAGTTAGGAAAATGTGTGAGTTTATTTATTGTATTTGTCGTATATAAATATTATATACTTAAAAAAAGATATCAATATTATTAAAATATTTATTTGTACTGATAAAGTAGTACAATATTTTTGAGATTCCATGATTTTTATTACAAATTAATTAAAAAAAAAGTTCTGAGTATCAACTTACTTTGAAATTTTGAAGGGTATTACTATATACACTTTTTTTATATCAAAATTAGGTCAAATCATGTATTAAAAATGTAAAAAATAAATCTTAATGTTAATATGTGGAAAAAAAAATTATTAGCTATGAATATATTGAGTCTACCTCATTTTAAAATGTTTAATTATCAACACTTTTCCTTCACCACATAAATATTTAAATTTAAATATTTCATAATAAATCTTTCCCTTTTTTTCTTCTAAATTTCAATCCAAGTAGGCTCAAGTTGATTTTTTCCTGTTACATTTAGCTTTTAAGAGGTGTTTTAGTCTGAAATCTTATTTAATTCTGATTTATAAAGAGGTGGTATTGAACTCTGAAATCTGAATCAATAAGACTGTTTTTGTAAACTGATAAACGTCTGAATTTATTTAAATTATCTATCTTACCCATTAAAAAGTTATGGTGTTTAATTTATAAATAAATTTATATAATTTCACATATTTATTCATTATCGTCACGAAATTTACATTTAAATCATATAACTAGCATTCATTTAAACGAAAATATGCCATGAATGATATTTAACACATTTAAATCCTATTAAAATACATCAATTGTGAGATGTGATGATTGATTTGGTAATGATCGATTGAGAGAAATGATCGATTAAGGTTAATCGATTGAGAAACGTCGTTGTTGAGTGTTTGAAAAACAATAAGAGACAAATAAAATATTGGTTTACCTCTTACCAAATAAGAGAACAATAAAACATAAATGCCTCTGAAAAATTAGAAAAAAACAAACAGTTTGAATACCTTATCTTAAAGAATCAGACATAAAAGACTTGTAAGAGTTTTTCCTAAATTTTTATTGTTAAGATATTTATAAAATAAATGAATAGATAAATTTAATTTATGTGATTTGTTTTTGAAAAACTCTTAAATAAATAATTAATTAAAAAAAAAATTATTTGGATAAATCCAGTGGTCAAACAAGGGTTTTGACGAGTCACAAGGGTTAATGCCGACCAAATGACGTGAACTGTAGAAGTGTGTCCAGGTTCAACGAAAAGTTCCAATATTTGGCCAAATTCATTCACCAAATCAATGTATTATATTTCTATCATTATGACGTCATCACCTACCTACATATCTTATTTATTTATTAATATTATATTATTTTATACTTCTAAGAAATAAAATATCCCAAATAAAGATTTTGAACTGATAGAATATTCGGATTATTTCTCCAAAATAGAGTTGGGATCACGTGAGACAGATTCATTTTCATGAGACCAATTTTTTACACTTGAAATTTTACAGCAAAACGCTATGAAGATAACCTTATATGTAAAAAAAGGGGTCTCATCGTATCTCACGAAAACAAATTGGTCTCATGTGAACCCAAGATTGGTTAAAAGGAAGAGAGATAACAGAAAATTCAATTTTTCGGAGGCATTTATGTCTTATTGTTCTCTTATCTGGTAAAACGTAAACCAACCTCTTTTTGCCTCTTATTATTCTCCAACTCAACAACAGACCAAAGAGCATTTGGCCTAGCGGTATCGTAGCCTTTGGCCTTCTAGAAGGTCAGAAGTTCAAAATTCACCAAAGGTGATGATAGTGTGTGAGTTTATTTATTACATTTGCCGCATATAAATATTATTACTTAAAAAAAAACTCACAACGACATTTCTCAATCGATTAACCTTAATATATCATTTCTCTAAATCGATCCTCAAATCTCTTGGTTCATGTATTTTAATAGAATTTAATGTGCTAAATACTTATAATTGAGATATAAACTTCGTAATAATGATTAATAAATATGTGAAATTGTATAAATTTATCTATAAGTTAAACATTATAATTTTCTAATCGATAAAATAGATAACTTAAACAAATTTCACACATTTATCAGTTTACAAAAATAAACAGTCTTATTGATTCAGACTTGAGCACCATCTCTTATCAATCAGAAATGAAATAAGACTTAAGACTTCAACACCTATTAAAAAATAAATACCACCTTAGCCTCATCTTCATTATAAATATTATCTTATTGTTTTAAAA